GGGAGGGAGGATCTCTGTGGGGGGAGGGAGGATCTCTGTGGGGAGGGAGGATGTCTGTGGGGAGGGAGGATGTCTGTGGGGGGAGGGAGGATCTCTGTGAAGAGGGAGGATGTCTGTGGGGAGGGAAAAGCACACTAAGAAAGGGACTGAACCTGGGACCTGCTAGTTCTGAGATGTCACTTGGACCAGTCATCATAAGAGAAAGAGATAGGAATTTCGGCAGATCAGCTCTGTGGTGAGCCCTGCATGGGAAGTCTTCCCTATTTCTGTGATGTGTGTCTTCCTCCTAGATGGGGTCAACCATCTAGAGCCAGATTTCTGAAAAGCCACTGTTTTGGGGGCAACTGTCAGCTGTCACGGAGAAGGAGGGTTTTATATATTCAAGACCATCTTTGAAATATTTCATTAGCCAGCTTTCAAAACATTAAGGTCAGTTCCTTAAAGAACCCGGAGCTGGTTCTTGAAACTCTAGCATCGTGTTAGTCTTCCTTTTCTAGTCGTACTGCTACCCAGTCTGAATTACTCAAGTACTTCTGGGTCGGGAAACCTAGACACTGTATTTCTCAAAGGACTTCCAAAGTTGGGCGAGCATGGTCAGAAAACCTGCCCTGGGGCTGTTTTGCTGACCTCAGGTACCTGGAGCTCTAAAGCAAACTGCCCATCCCCACTCTGCCTCTGCATGCTGTGCTCTCCACCTGGGCAACTTCTCATTTCCTACCCTGACGGCCAGGTGTGAGAAGCCCCAGAGAAGGCGAACCTTCCCTGTGCTGTCATCACAGAAAGTGTTAATTCCATGAGGCAGTAGATTCATGGTTTCATACCCACTCACTGTGGCTATGAAGCCCAGCTTCAAGTGGTCCCTGGAATGTAAGTTTGTGTATAGTCAGAGACATGGAGTGAGAAACCCTCAGGAACTCTGCTGCCTCGGCTGCAGAGTCACCTCTGTGACCTTTCTGTGGGGCCCAGCCTAGAGCTGTGGGGATGAGTGGCATCCATATAGAAGCCAGAAGGGGGTGTGTGCTCATCAAGGAAGGGAATAGGTCTGAATGAACATCCTCAGTTAAAGGACTAAAAATATCCTCTTAGGTGTTCATGCAGCATCTTAGATATGTTCAAGAGGAAAGCTCCTTTGAGGCTAGGAGTTCGGGGCCAGCCTGGATGACATGGAATGACCTTATGTCACACACACACACAAAAAAAAAAAAAAAGAAAAAGAAAGAAAGAAAGAAAAAGAAAAAAGAAAAAATCTTCCCAATGGCTGCCATTCCTTACTCTCCTTATTGCCTGCCTGTTGCTGCTTTATCTAGTTTGCTTTAACCTACCATTGCTAGTAGGCAATTTGAACACCTTTGTCTTGCAAGGACAAGCGATTAAGCTGCCCCCCCTCACCAGGGAAAAATGTTCCTGCTGTGAAGGGGGCAGGTGGCTGGTGCTGCCTTCCCTCTGTGGATGGTAATGGGTTTCACTCCCTTCTGGACTCCCAGAGATGTCTGTGGAATTGAAAAGTGCTCTGAGACCCGAGCATCAAAGAAAATTGGCTGGGAGGCTGCAGGCCCTTAATCACCAGATGTGTCCCTTCTACACAGGTGGCCTGCAGAGGGGCCACGGGACACATTACACACTTACCTGGCTTGTTCTGTAGCAGACTGGGTTTGTGCTAGTACCTGCAGGTGGCAGGCTTCTGAGCTAATTTAAGCTAACATGATACAGCTTTGACCTTCAGCCCTTCTTACCCAAGTTCTTTGAGAGAAATCACAGAAGAGAGAGTTTTCAGTGGCTTGGGAGGACAGTGTCATATTGATCTCAGAACCGTATATTAGCCTGAAGTATATTGTGTTCTTTGGGGAGAGAGAAAATTGGTGATAAAACATGAATCAATACCCTTCTAACGTACAGTGTGGGGGCGGGGGCACTAAATGTCACACTCAAAGCCTGAGGCCATTGCCCACACCTGCACTCAGGGGCCTTGCAAGGCCAGCGTGAGGATCCTGGAAAGAGGACCTTGTCAGAAAGCAATGGCTCCGTCAGGGCACTGCCCCAGCCCTGACTCTGTCCACAGGGAAGGGCCCACAGGATCATGACCCATCCACCCAGCTCTCTCTTATGACAACATGAGTACCACCTCACAAAGGGAAGCCAGGAAGTGGCTCCCTGGCAGGAAACTGGAATCCTATAGCAGCAGCAAGCACGCTTGCTGAGGAGTGGGAGATGGCAGAGTCTCCCACACAAGGCGGCAATGGAATCATACACCACTGCAGCCATGGTGTCTAGGCCCCTACTTCCCCCGACGGAACTGCCCATTTGCATCCTGTCATCATCCTCTTAACTTCCTAGGGTCTGCCATCCATGGAGGACCTTGCTCTGGTTCCACAGTACCCTCCCCCGGGTTCTGCCATGTGTGTTTGGTCATGCCTCCCTCTTCTAGGCCCCGTACCACATTTCTCTCTAAGATAACATCTAAAGATGTTCTCATCTCTTTGCCACAGACACCTACAGGAGTCCTCAAAGCGAGTCCCCATAACAGTAAGAGCTGGGACTCGGTAGGGATGCAAATTCCTCACTCAACCACTGACTTGGAAATCTGGGAGTGGACCCAGTACTGGGATTTGATTGACAAGGTTTTGTGGGACCGGATACTCACTGGCATCTACAACACATGGGACAGTTCTTCACATCACAAAATCTGAGCTCTTGGATCCTTCCTGGATGCCCCGATACAACCTAGGGGCCTCTAAGAGCCAAAGTCTGTCATCACAACCAACATTTTCACTTCTATTTTTTTTTTTAAAAATCATAAACAGAAAGATAAACCTCATTGTTATGTCAGAGTCTAGGAAAATGGCTGTCCAAGCTGAGAGACTTGCAGGCTCCCACTCTCCCTGCTCACTAAGCACCCTTTCCTCTCAGGGAGCTCTCACACAGTGACTTTTACCATGCACACAAAAACAAGCCAAGATCCCAGGTCTGGAGTTGCCATGCAGCCACTGAGCCACTCGGGGCATCTCAGGGCCAGAGTGAACACAAAGGCATCACTCAAGTATCTTCTGGTTGTGTCAGGGCAGGTGACATTCACCAGGCTGGTCCAATGCCAAGGCAGAATCCCTGTGATATGTTTTTTTCTTCCCCTATGGTGCCAACAGCCTGAACACACTGTCCATGTTTCCCACTGATCCCAGAGTACATGCGCTCTGCCACCTTTCCCTGACCCCTGACTTGGTCTATAGAAAGTGGCCCACCCTTGTAGGTATGATTATCTTGGAGGCTTATGAGGTCGAGCCGGTACAGGGGGCAGAGAGCACTCCATCCACAAAGCTTATTCATGGCAGCCAGGTCCTGTCAGTGGCTGAGAGGAACACCAGTCATGCTGAGCCTCCTCCACCCTGCAGGTCATTGGGATGGCCAAGGTTCTGGATGAGAGCTCGAGGTGGTGTCAAAGAGGCTTAGCCTTGCACTGGGGCCATCATCCTGGGGTTCAAAAGGCCAAAGGGAGCAGAGTTTGGACATACGTGGAAAGTCCTGTAGATCCTCCGTGTCGCAGAATTAGTCAGCTCTGTGGCTTGTGCTTGGGGCCAGCTCTCAGCGTATAGCACCTGTGCTACCTGACTTGTCCCTCACCTCTGCCTCATTTCCTACAGCTTTCACTTAAGACCTCCCTGGCCCCATGACCTTACCTCTCTGCCCGACCAGAGAGTTCACACTCAATAAAGACAACAACAATAATGTCAAGATAAAAAGGTCAACAAAATATACTCAGAGGCCTCTTCTGATTTCAGCATTTACCATGTTCCCAGTCTTAGACTGGATCAGGACCATTCTGTTTCATCCTATGCACGTGATACTTACCCATTCTGTTTTGTTTTGTTTTTCCCTCATCATTTTTCAGATGAGGAAACCAAGGCTTTACAGACATCTTCAACATATCTGACAGTAGTTGGGAACCTTGAAGCAGTGGGAGTCCCTGTCATGCACAGCTCAGAGAAAGTCCCAGATGCTTGGCAAAAGAAGCACAAGCCTAGCCTAGGGATGACTGGCCTGGTATAGCTGCATCAGACCATGTCTAGACAAGACGGGCCTTGGTCCCCTGAGGCCTCAGTCCACAAGCCCTGTTCCCCCTGCTCTGGTCATGGGTTACAAGCTGCCCCTGTTCCACCTAGGCCCTCCCCAGACACATGGCAGCATGGACCTCAGACACATCTGCGTTGGGCTGTGTGTCCAGCTGCGGGGATTAAGTTGAGTAGCCGAAGGCCAAGTTTACACATTGGTTCTAGGCTGGAGCTGGAGTCAGCATCCTGCAGTATACGCAAGGCCCTCAGATGAACACCACGTGCAGAGGCTTCATCACATGGCACTCACCGGTGTCACGGCCACAGTCAACGCTGTCTGGGGGAGGAGCTTTCTGAGGGCAGACAAGGGAGCCGGGCATACAGAGAAACTGCCCTTGTCAGGGCCTGGGCCTCACCTGGCTGGTGGGGGTCTGTCCGACCACAGCCTCATAGGGTGGGGGCAGCTCGGCAGGGTAGAGCATGCCAGGGCTGTTGATGGCCACATCGTACAGGGTGCTGAACGGAGAGGAAGCGAAGTCCAGGTGGAGGCCCCTGGAAAACAGAATAGCCCCTTACACGGCCATCCCCTGGGGATGGAGCCCAGTGTCTGACATCTCTCTCCAAGTGTTGACTGTCTGACACATGTCATGTTGAGAACTATAAGCCTGAGTCCCTGGGCGGGTTTAACTGCTGTTCTTTCTTCTGGACAGATGTCCAGATTTCATTAATCACTTCATCACTGCCTATTACGATGAACATCACGATGAAGCTGATGAAATGCCTAATTAAGGTTCCACGCTCTGTGATGACTGTCACTCAGGAGCAGCTTCGCGCATGTCAGGGTACAGCAGTGCTCACTGTTGGCCTGTGCCATCATTTAGGGCACCATAAAGATGCTAACAGAAATCTTTTATTCAAGCCAGGCCTTGTGATGATCGACCGTAATTCTAACACTTGGGACACTGAGATGAGAGCATTAGGAATATGAGGCCACTTTGGGCTACATAGAGGGATCAAAGCTGCCCTGGGCTGCACGGTGAGGCCCTGTCTCTAACAACAACAAAATCAAAACAAAAGAAAACCACCATCACTGCCAAAACCCCAACGAACAACAAACAGTAAGAAAAGACTTTTTCTTGTTCCTGTATTTCTAGGCCACAGCTCCTTTCTTCATGTCCTGTCGTTGCGAGGCACATGCTTCCATACTGGCTCCATATTCTCTCTCACTCCACACGTCTCTCTCCCCTGCCGCTGCAGCTTCCTCCTCCCAAAGATCCGTCCTGTCTGCGGCTTCCCAGGAATCATGGTGCAGGAGACACTGAGAGGAAGACTGACCTGTGGGCCTCTGCTGTGGGCGTGCAGGAGTATTCTGGAGGGTAGTAGGGCGGAGGCGGGAGGGGGGCAATGAATTCATCAAAGTCCAGGGTCTGGTGGAGAATGGTGCCGTGGGGAGTCATACAGGCAGTACTGGCGGAGTGAGACCTCTGTGGGAAGAACTGGAAAGCACAGAGAGAGAATCAGCGTTATGCCAGATCTTGTATGGCTGGCGCCTGATGGAGCTAATTGCACACACTTCACTTTTCGAAGTAAAGTGCCTAGTTTAACCTGCCAAACCATGAGCAGTAAACACACACTTTACAGAGGACAGCTCTGAGAGGACCACCTCAGAAGCCTCCCTCCACTCTGCTTCCCACACTGCTATGCGGATGCCTTTGATTTTTTTTTTTTTTTCAAAGTTAAAAACTGCTGCCTGGGAAGTCTTTAATACAGTTCTTACTGGGAACCCTCGCGCCTGCGGCTTTAATGCTTAAACACTGCAGTTAAAGGACGCTTGCCACGCACGCTTCAAAACAGCCCTTTAAGAGGAAAAGCTAGACTTTCAGCATGCTCACTCAGCAAGTCCCTATCACGAAGTACACTTGGCACGTACCCCATACACAAGTCCCCTTTCAGAGCCCAGCATGCCTCCTACACTTCCCATAGTTCACTGTGGGCCCTTTGAGCACTAGTACGTAGTCGTATGTAGGGCCTTGATCCGAAGGTAAACAGTGTTCACCAGAATCTTCTGTGGGGCACTTGCGCACACCAGATGCCACTTAAAAATATCAAGGGAAGCACACGTTAGCAAAAATGAGTGCCGTCTGCCTGGATCTCTCTATCTGAAGTACTAATACTTGTTTCTCTCCCCAGCCTCGGGTCACTTCTGCAACAAGTCGCCTGTTCCATGGAAATGCCTGAGACACTGCATGGGCTCTGAGCCTTCCTACAGCATGTCAGTGAAATAAGAGGAAAGACAGAAACACCAAGAGTCACTTGTACACAGTTAAGCACAACAGCTTCATTAGTAATACAGTCCTCCAATCTGAATGGGAACAAGGAGGTCTACATTCATGAAGCCGATGCTATCTAAATGGGCCTTCAAAGACTGGTAGCGTGGCAAAGGCTGGGGCTGCATGGGAGCATCTAGGCTCGTACACAGGTGACTGGTAAATGCTGTTTCAGAAGAGCAAAACCATAAGGATCTAATCAATTCATAATTTAGTGGACAGGCTGGATGAGGCTGTTGAGGATGTTGGGGCTGTGCGGTGGTGAGTACCCTGTGGGGGCAGGATAGGGCCGGTGCAGACAGGGGCCAGGCAGTTGGAGAATTTCTGTACTAGCAGGGCTGAGTCCAGTGTTCTGAATATGGTCAAATAATATTCGTGAAATCAGTGTGCTCTGGGCTGATGGCTACATCTGGGGGACACACCAGGTTAAAAATGTCCCCTACCAGCATTCCTAACACATAGCACATTCCCTGCTTTCCCAGCTAATCTGACTCATTGCTGTTGGAAATTGGAGGGGAATTGACGGCTGTGACAAGGTTGGATGTGAGACGTCATCCTCTGCCTCTGAAGCTCTTAATTCTTGCGCTTGCTGAATGGTGGTGAATGGAGGACAAATATTCTTGAGGTCTAATAAGAAAATATTTTGAATTAGTCTCTATCAGAAATTAAATGAATCAATAATAGTATACTCAAGAAAAAACTAATGAAACGCAAAAGCACCCAACACCAGAGGCCAGACAAAGCTAAAAGACAGTGCATCCACTCTAAGCATAACTTTGCCTGTCCTGGGTGGTGCTGGCCCCACATCTACAGAAATTTCCAGAGCCTTCTCAAATGGAGCCTTTTGCTAGGCTTTTCACTCTCCTCAGCAAGAAGTCTGCCAGTCTCACGTGATTCTCTCCTTTCTATCAATAGTGTATGTCCAGTGAGGACCTGGTCTGCCTTGCAGTTCAAGGTCACCAGCTTTGTCATCTGCTCTGAGATGCTGAGGCTGGAAGTTGGCCAACTACAGTCCTCAGGCTCTCTGGCCAATGGGCTCCATTTAGGCTCTACCCATAGAGAGTCTAAAAGGCTGCCCCAGGGACAGAATTACAGCAATCTTGACTCTTCTCATCCCTACCGTTCCCCAATTCTAAGCGGGTAGTTGTGTCTTCGGTAAACTCAGCACCTCCCTGTGTCCCTTCACCCTCACAAACTTGAGTAAACAACTGTCAGAAATACAACAGGTGGTTCCTTTCCCTGACTGTGGTCATTTGCGTGAGAATGGCCCTCAGGTCCTCAAACTCAAGTTGGCGGAACTGTCTGGGAAGGATTAGGAGGCATGGCCTTGCTGGATTAAATACGTCAATGTGGACAGGCTTTGAGGTTTCAAAAGACTCCCCCAACTCCCATTTCCAGGTAGCTCCCTCTGCCTCCTGCTTGTGAGTTGAGATGTGACCTCTCCTTTCAGCTGTTTTTTTTGAGTGAAGAACTCTACCGGCATGTACTCTAATCCTCTGGAACTGTTAGCCTAACAAGATGCTTTCCTCCATAAGTTGCCTTGTTCATGGTGCTTCAGTCACAGCCACAGCAAAGTAATGAGTACACTGACTGTCAGGCTGCCTGTGTTTCATCCCCCTGTTCTTTCCTAAATGAGACACAGCACACGCTCAGCCAACGTCGGCTGAGTGGATGGATGGGCATCTTTCTGCTATGGTACCCTCTCTCTTCTATCCTCGCAGAAACTGCCAGAAGAGCTCAGGAGAAAGCTTTCTGGTCTCTGCTTCTAGAATGCAGCCTCCATCTTGTTCAGGAGCTATTTTTAAACCAAGCCCAGATTAGCTCATGCTGCTGAAAAAAAAAAAAAATCTCTTACCATCAAGGCTGTGCACAGCGAATCTATCCAGTTTCCAGCTTCCTTCCAGCCAGTGCCAAACACCCCCGGCTCTGAACAAGGTCTCAATCACCCTTCACACCAGACATGCTTTGAGCTTCGTTTCCTCTTCCTAGCAACTTAGCTCCTTCTTACCTGGCAACCCGCCAGGCCTCCTCCAGGACTAGGCAGAATGTCCTGACCGGAAGGCCTGTCTGCCAGCCCACAGCCTCCCAACTCCGGCTCCCTGCTCTGGGACCTTACATCTACACTTCCATGGTCAGGTGTAAAGCATGATTCTACATCTCCTGAAGTGAGTAGGAAATGAGCTCTGAGTCCTCTCTTCTGTCCTGGCTGGTTCTGTCTTCCCTGGCCTGTCTAAACCACGTGGGAACAGCAGCACACCCTCGTGTGGAAACTGGCTGAGGTACTCACACTTCCACCCAGGGTCTGTCACTCACACAACAGCAGTGTGTACCTGAGGCTGTTATGGGAGAGGCCGTGTGACTTTGGGCACCTTACTGACCTGTCAGTCTCATGCTCCTTTTTCCTGGTGCCAGCAAGATTATAACAGGAAGTGCCATCCTATGCTACAGACCCACCTAGCAGTGTCAGAAGCCTCAAGTGAGAGCCCCTGCCAGTTACTAGCTCTCCTGGCTGCATGTCTGATCTGCTTCAGGGAACAGGGTGAAGGACAGGGTTGGACAGCAGAAGTCTGGCTGTCTCGTGGTAGGATTTGCCTGGAGCCTGCCCAGCACTGCCTTCGCTGGACCCCAGAAACAGAGGCTACCCCCAGATTTCCTTCAGCATTCTGGCTCTTTGGGTTATGGCCTTGAGTATCGAACACACCTGCCAGATCCACACTCACAGTTATCAGGCCTGCACAAACAGCACCCCCACCTGCACTGTCTAAGGGGTTCTACTTAATGAATCACGTGAGCGGAGGGGAGACCATCGGGGCCGTCCTATGAGACGACTGGGGCAAGCAAAGCAGGGTAACAGCCGAGGATGTTCCTGAGGCTAAGGTGGCAATGAGAGAAATACGGAGGAGAATGGGGCTACATTTAAAAGCAAAACTAGAAACGACACTGAGACACTTAGGAGGTAAAGCACCGTCTCTACCAAGCTATGCCGATAAGCAGAACTGCATCATCATGCACTTACTATTTCTGCGCACGTTAGAACCGCTTGGCTTTAGCGATTCTGACAATAGAAGTAACACTTGCCATCTCACGAGTTCATGATGTTAGTTCCAACTGCTGCTAATTATCCCCAACACGGACGCATTCACATCGTAAGGATGATGGGGTACTTAGAATTCTACCACCCTAACGGTGCTGCTGAGCTCCTAGGTATGGTAATGACCTTGAGTTGCCTGTATCCATGAGCAAACTACAGAGCTGCCTGTTGGCTCCTGAAATCAACTACGGCAGCCACAGAGAAAATAGGTGAACTTGTCAGTCCGTGACCCACGCACGTTTGGGGCTCTCCCAGCAGCCTTCGGGGAGAGTTGGTTAGGATGGTGTTTAAGTTCGGCAGCAGTTGCTGGGAGCACACATCAGGAGCACCCTGCTGTTCTATCTGAACACAGCCTTCAGGAGGCTGCACGCATGCTCACCAGGCTCGCTCCCAGAGCGCTCTTGTCATGAATTAGTACTTCTTAGAGGATCTGGGATGTGGTATGTCCCTTACCAAACATGCACAAGACCTGGGGTCCAATCTGTAGTACCACAGAGACACACACATACAAGCATATACACACACACAGACACACAGATACAAACACACACACACACACACACACACACACACACAGATGCAAGTATACATACACAGACACACAGATACAAGCACACACACACACAGACACACAGATACAAGTATACATACACACACAGACACATTCACCCAGAATCCCCTCAGACACACAGACACACACAGACACAGATACACAGACCCAAACACACACACAGAGACATGCACTCAGAGACACATAATACTTCTAAACTCAAGAATCTCAAGTAAAAACAGCAGAAGAATGGTTGGCAGGTAGCATGAGACACAGCAAGTTCAGCAAATGCAAATCCAGCCAGAACTAAGATGTTGAAGGCAGGGAAGGTAACACTGGCATTGTGGCACACGACAGAGCTGTCGCGCAGATTTACTGTGATCGCAGGGCAATTAGTTTTCAGAAACTGACGAACCGATTCTGAAAGTCATAGGGAAACACGGGGAGACAGAGTTCTCACAACCGGCTTGAGAGTAAATGAAGCCGGAGGATTCTTTTAAAAGTTCCTGTAACACTATGGTGACCAAGGCTCTGTGAAATGGCCGTAAAGGCAGACAAAAAGACTGATGAAATGGAACTGAGGGTTAATATTTGCATTTCAACAAATGGCACTAGGAACCACACAGAACTGGACCCCTGCCACACACTATATGTGACAATCAACTCAAGATGTTCCTAAACACCAACTCAGAGTACAGAACCCTCAGAAGGAATAATTTCTTTTTTTTTCTTTTTGGATTAGGCAATAGGGAGACAGGATATCAAAAACAAAAGCAGTAATGGAGAAAAGACACAATGGGCCTCATTCAAACTAAAATTGTTGTGGTTTGAAAGACACCACTAAGTGTAAAGACAATCAACAGGATCGCATAAAACATTTGCACACTGAACATCTGAAGAGAGACTGGTATCCAGAGCACACAAAGAACTCTACGACTCAGCAATAAAAGGCAACAGCATTTTAAAAATGAGCAAAACAAAGTCCATTTCTCTACAGAAGATCTATAAGAAGCCATTAGACACACAGAAAGAGGACCAACATCATTTAATCACTAGAAAAGTACAAATCTAAACTACAACAGAATGTCACCTCACAACCACTAGGCTGGGGGAAATGGGGACAGGAGGAAAGGTGGTTATTTATATGTGTATGTGGAAGCACTTAGATATGATGGGCGAGCAGAAGGACTCGCTGCAAAGCTTCGGCATTAGACTCTTTCCATGCACAGGTGAGGAAGGCATTAGCTTTTCTTTATGCACTGCTATATATTTTAGCTTCTTCCAATGATCATGTAGCATTCCTTTAATTAAATTTTGGAATGAAATGAAAAATTAAGCCTGAAAAGGGATTTCAAGCCCCCCCCCCCAAACATCTTTGTTCCATGTGACTAAATGTGCCCACAACCCTTTTGGGCCAGCCCCCTTCTTATAAGGTGCAGCCACCACAGCCAGCCTGGGCCAGCCAAACTCCATCTTGACACCTCGTTTTGAAAAGAGCCCATCTCTACATATTACAGGATCCATCCTCTCAGCAGGATGGAAAGGCTCAGAGACTTAATGGCCTTTAGCACAAAAGAACAAAGACCAGTAGGTAGTGACATGACTACAGGTTTATAAGCTGGTCTCACAGGCAGCTCTTCTCTCTGCATCCCTCATGATGCTGGGGCACGCACAGCTCAGTGTGACTAGAGGACCAGACAGAACCTTGCCTGTCCCACAGCACATGGCCACACACGAGGCCCCACCAGCAGGAAGCTCAGTTATTCCGACTTCTAAGCTAGGAGGTTTCTGGTGGCAGCTTGCTATGGCTTCGATGTGCTTAGCCTGCCATTGTCGCAGTGTTGGGGGCTTGGTCCTCAGCGTGGTGCTTCTGGGAGGTGGTGTGGAACGTTGCAGAGGGGAGGTGGTGGTGACTGGAGGCATGGCCTTTGGAAGGAAGTGATGCCATGCCTTCAGTTTGTAACAAGCTCTCTGAACTGAAGGCGTGGCATCACTTCCTTCCAAAGGCCATGCCTCCAGTCACCAACACCTCCCCTCTGCAACGTTCCACACCACTTCACCAGATGGGTGACTATAGCAACAAGACATTTGTTTCCCACCTTGGAAACTGAGGGTATACATCAAGGTATTGGGTCTAGTGACCAACTTCTAGCTGTGGCTTCATCTCATGGAAACAGCACAGCAAGCTCTCTGGGTTCTCTAACAAGGACTCAGAGCCATCTTCATGACCTCCTTACTTCCTAGAGGCCTGGTCCCCTAATAACATCATAGTAGGATCAGGATTTCAGCATAGGAATTTGGGGGAGGAAAATGTCTAGTCCATTACATGTGCCCTAAGGTATTTTATTACAACAAAAAACTAAGACAGAGCCTTTGTAATTTCTGTAATAATTTGTTTGTTTACAGTACACCAGACTTAGTAAAGAACACTGAAGCAGTGTAACCCTTGAGGCCGTAGCTGTGGCATCAGAGCTGTGACGTCATCGCTGTGATGTCACTACCGTGATGTCCAGTAATTGGCTGGACTGCCACCTCATTACAAATGAAGGTAGAGCTGGGGGCGTGGCCAAGTGTTAGAGCTGCTGCCTAGCCTGTGCAAGGCTCTGTTAGCAACTAAAAAATACCAAACAAAACCCAACAGGGGAGGTTGTCCTGGAAGGCCCTCTTCATATGTGAGGAAACTACTGGACAAGTAGGTTTGGTGATGTGCTCAGAGTCGTCACACATGCGGAAGCCTTGGCCTCGGCTGCGGACATGCTCACAACCTGACCCCAGGCCTACTTCTGCTCTACACGGCCACCAGTAAGGACACTGTGCACTTTGGTTTAATTCTAAAGGCTTACACAGCTAGCATATGCCTTATTCTTATTTAGTTGGCAGTTTTCATTTTAGTGTTTGAAAGTAGGTGATACATATTGCTATCCTCTGCTGCCTTTAGCTCTGTTAGTTTGGTTGAATTGGTGTGATATTTACAGATCAATAGCAAAATCTACTGAGATCGGTAGAACCTTCTGGTATTTAACCTTTCCTTTATACCCTGTGCTGGAGAAAATTGCCAACACGAGGCCTCGATGAATGAGGCCAAAAGTTCATCCTGCTGAATAGCTGCTTAATTAGACACCTTTCAGAACACTGCGACCTCTCAGAAAGGTCAGCTCACGATGACAGCTGCGTGGATGTATGCTGTGGGTGCCAGACTGCACGCCACATGCAGCTAGAGCCAACGCAGTTTTAACATATTGGTAAGGATGCTCTCTGGCCTTGTATCCTGACTAACGGATGGGTGAGGAGGAAGATTTAAAAGAGGAGCTCACTCTAGAAATAACTTGTCTTTCCTTTTAGGAGACGCACAAAACATTGGTTGTAGGGCACAGTGGACTTGCGGGTAGGCTGAGAGACATAGAGATGTACATAGCGAGCTTTGGCTTGACTGTGGTTTGTCCTGGCCCAAAATGGTAGTATTGGGAGGTGGCCCTAGTAGGAAGTGCTTGGGTAACAGGGGTCAACCCCTCCTGAATAGATTGATACCATGTAGAGGGAGCGAGGGAGGACTCACTCTAATAGGTAAGGTCAGCCACCACTTGGGAGCAGGGCTGTTAAAAAATAAAACAAGGCTAGGTTCTTAGGTTCTATCTCCCACAGGTGCCCCCTTCCCTTCTGCCGTTTGCCATGAGGTTCTCCATCAGAAGCCAACCACATGCGGCTGTGCAGCCTTGGACTCTCCGCCCTCCAGAACTGGATGCTAAGTAAGCCTGCCTTCTTTATACCTTACTCAGTCTGGGCTATTCTGTTGCGGTAAGGGAAACAAACAAGGCAGACAGAGAGATGGCAAATGGGAGGGAGGAAGGGACACAAGAGTGGCTCCTAAACCAAAAACCAATTGTCACTTTTTTTTTTTTATCATGAGTTTCACAATAATGTATTGAACCCTAGGCTGTGGTCCACTCATGCTGAGACGACAAAGAGCCATCACGATTTATGAAGTGTGTGTTTAGAGGTGTTTATTAACAAGCACGTGGCCCCTACTTTGGCCTCACCACTCCCATGGGAGCAGAAGGTCTTTTCTTTAAAGACCCTGGCCATGAGACCAGATGAGGGCCACTGGACCATGATCTCTGGGTTAATTTAGCACATTCCAAAAGCAGAAGCACAGCAGTTTTTGAATTTGAGAAATCATCTTCTCACAACCCCAAACTTCTACCACAGGGAATTCCGAAGAACAAGGATGGGGCTTGCTTTGAAGGTTCTGGTTCTGTAGGCCGTCCAGCGCGGCCGACTCCCACTTACTCAGGGACACATCCTGGGTGCTCTGCGGAGGGCAGGCAGGACTCTATCACAACATGGAACTCTGCTGATGTCTGAAGGGAGGCAACAGCAGCGAATCTGCAGAGTCCCCTTCCTCAGAAAGCAGCACTAGGTGACTCCAGGGGTCCCTGGGCGGTCTGGACTGAGAGAGCTCATGGTTCTCTACCCAGAAGCAACCACTCTCCTCCATGCCTCCCCTAGACTCGAGCTACAGAGGAGGGAGGCCACCCGGAGAGGGCCTGGGCAGGAGCGGAGCCACTTACCATCTGCAGGACATCGGCAGAGACCATCTGCATGCAGCACATGGCCGTGGCCAATGCGCACACGATGGTGGAGAGGACATTGAGGGCGCATACGCTGAAGAGGAGGTCCTGCAAGAAAAGAACCGGAAGAAAGGTCAGTTCCTGCCACTCACACAGACACAGCGTCCAGGGCACACTTATACAAGCCTGCACAGTGCGGACAGCTGCCGCCTGCCTCACAGAAGGCTGGTTTTGTGTGTGGCTGTCTTTTATTCACACTTAAACTTAGCCTTTAAAACACACACGCGCACACACACACACACACACACATTTGTTTATGTATGTATGTATATATGTATGTATGTATGTATGTATGTATGTATGTATTATTTATTTATTTATTTATTTATTTATTTATTTATTTATTTATACTGTGCTGTTCAAACTGGTCTTAATCCTACAATAAGTCTGTCATAGTTTTGGTAAATCTTAGGAAGTCAGTAAGATGGCTAAGAAAATATTGGGATGTTGCTGCAAGAAGGTGGGTAATTTTTATCAAACACAGGGTGTTGCTTGACGCCGATGAATGTTTAATAAAATTTCAAGTTTCTAAATGGCATTTTTTTTGTATTTAGGTAATTGTAGATTCACCATGTAATTGTCAGAAATGACACGGAGTTACTATGTGCACCCACTGACGGCATTCCGCAAAACCACAGCTTAGTGCACTATCACAGCCAGGAAACTGACAGCACAGTCAAGACCCAGAACACGCAGGTCTCCCATGCTGCCTCTTATAAATGATCGCCCCCCCACCCCCACTTTTCACTCCAAATACCTCTGTCAACCACTAGCTTGTTCCTCAATACTTGTTTCAAGAATGTTATGGGGATAGAATGAGAAAGCATCAGACAGTTTGCGATTGATATATATATATATATATATATATATATATATATATATATATATATATATATATATTCACTCAGCACAATTGTTTGAAGATCCACTGTGGCTGTTGCTTGAATTAACAGTTCATTCCTTTGTACTGGTAAGTAGTATTCCAATAAATAGACATACCACAATAGGTTTAACCATTACCAGCCGAGGAGTACCTGGGTGATTTTCAACTTGGGTCTCATAGGAATAAAACATTCAGGTGTTTATGTGAAGGTAAGTTTTTATTTCTCGGTAGTATTTGTTCAGGACAACAATTGCTGGGTAGAGTTATTGCATAGCTAGTTTTGGAAGGAACAGTCAAACGCTTTCTAAAATGGCTGGATCATCTTATGGTCACACCCGTGGTGCATGAGTGACCCAGTTTCCCTGCATCGTTGCAAACATTGTGTGTGACTTCCGCTTTAGCTGTTCTGGCTAGGTACGTGTGGATTTACCACTCCAGCTCTATTTGCAATTTCTCTGACGCATAAAAGACGTCGAACAATCTCTTTTTGCTTGTTATTTGCCATCTGGCTCCCCTTCAGTGAAATGTCTTTCAGGCTTTGCTCATTTTTCCCATTGGCCTGTTTGTCTTTTTATTCCCAGCTTTTAAAAGTTTTTTTACACCAGTTCTTTCTCAGGCATGTGACTTGCAATTTTTTTTTTTTTTTCAAATTGCAGCGTATCTTTCCAAGTACTTCTCATGGTGCCTGAGTTTTGGATGTAATAATGAAAATGCCACCAGATGGGTGACTATAGCAACAAGACATTTGTTTCCCACCTTGGAAACTGAGGGTATACATCAAGGTATTGGGTCTAGTGACCAACTTCTAGCTGTGGCTTCATCTCATGGAAACAGCACAGCAAGCTCTCTGGGTTCTCTAACAAGGACTCAGAGCCACCTTCATGACCTCCTTACTTCCTAGAGGCCTGGTCCCCTAATAACATCATAGTAGGGTCAGGATTTCAGCACAGGAATTTGGGGGAGGAAAATGTCTAGTCCATTACATGTGCACTTTTCAGACAGCCCACGTTTTTGTGTTCTAATATCCAATCTTGCCCCCCTTCTCTTTGTGGGCCATGCTTTGGGTGCCAAGTCTGCCTAGCTCTAAATACTTAAGCATTTTTCCATGTTTCTTTTCTAAGCATGTTGCTTATGTTCATGGCCATGACCCATTTTGAGTTAATTATTGGATAAGGTTTAGGCTGCAGTTCATTTTTGCCCTTTTAATTTTAATTTACACATGCTCATTGTGAGTGTATAGAAATGTGATTTTTATGTGTGTGCTTATGTGGTATCTTGTAATCTTGAATTCATTAGTTCTAGAAATTTTAAAGGTGCTTTGGCATTTTCTATGCAGAGAATCAAGCCATCTACCAATGTTGTTTCTCTAAAATTTATATGCTGCTTATTTTCCTTGCTTTGTAGCACTAGCTGGGAGTCTGAGCACTGGGAGTAACAAAAAGTCTAATGAGATGACAAAAGCAGACAGCTTCACCTCGTTCTTCACCTTAGAGGGTCTACTTCATGGTATTTAACTGTTGAAAGGTAATTCATTCTTCTTTAGGAAACGCATTCTCAAATCCATGTCATGAACAGGATTCACAAAACTGATCAAAGATTCACAAAACTGACCAATAACACATCATTCAACTACAGCTATTTTATTATACACATCCAAAAAGCTACCAGTAAAAACTATCTTTTTATGAAAGGACAATGATATTGAGGTTTGTTACGATAATCTAGCAAAAGGTGAGCATCCCAGAAACAGAAGATGATATGTTTTTGTTTTTTGGTTTTGGTTTTTCATGTAGCCTTGCTGTCCTGGACTCACTTGGTAGAACAAGCTGTCCTCAAGCTCACATTAGTGACTGACGTCACTCATGCACAGGGGTCTCTGTGTCCATCTGGCTGTCTAGTCCAGCAGCCTTTCCTGTGGTCATGTACACCAGCCTGTTCCTGGAGTCATGAGCCAGGGTCTTCTCTTCTGTAACATTCTCTAGGAAGTTTTCCACTCTCTCATAAGCTGTCTTTCACTACAGAAGTCACTATCTAATCCCTTTCTTCAGAGCCTCAAAGCCAACTTGTGAGATACAAAAGAGGTGTGATTACGACAAAATTATGGAGGGCAAATGCTGCTCATAGCATGCCATGGTTCTCAACATTCCACAGCCCAGTGTAAACGTGGAGTCAGAGAAGGCAGTCTGAATTTTAACATCTAAGCAGCACTCAGTCTAGGGCTCCTAATTTCCATCCTGGAAGTCAAGCCATCCTGAGGCCTCTAAAGAATATGAGAATCAGACTCAGACTCAGTCCCCTCCGCAAAGCCCAGGCTCTGTGTCTCTAATCCTTCCGGGTGGCTCTTTCCCTGGCTTATAGTAGTTTTCCCCTGAGAATATGCTAACAGTACTCAACAGAACACCCAAAGGCCACGTTCCCCAGATCCTGCAGTTCTATCTGTGTGCCTGTCTCCCCTCTCCTGCAATCTCTTTCCTGAGAACTCTACCCCAGGGCTTGGACCTCTCATACTTTCAGTTGTGTCTCCCTAATTCAGAAAGTCTGGGGGTGGGGAGCTCCTAAATTCCTTTCTTTAGCCCTGAGCCCTGGGAAGTTTCTTTGGGAAGTCAGCAGGAGAGGGAACCGCTTGCTGACCTTCTTCCAGAAACCACAGTCCTTTATTGCATTCCTATCCATTGTGTCCATTCGGTTGTTGCTTTGGACAGGAGGATAAATCTAATCCCTGGTTACACCATTTTGGGAAGAGGCCCTGGGTCGTAATTTTTGTTTCAGATTGTGGCAGAGCTAGCTGAACAGGCTGCGCAAAGTTGCTATGGCCACTTCTTAGGTGCTCTCCGCTCCTGCAGCCAGTGAAGACAGAGCAACATGAGAGTTTAGTCGTGGAACAGAACACATATGGAGTGCTAGAGAGAGGATAAGAAGCTTGGCCTGTGTTTTGTGGGCTTTGAGTTACCAACGAAAATGGAAAGAAGGTCTTCATTTACAAATGAATGGAAGAGAAATTTGAAGGTCACAGCACAGAATTGGAGCTTCAACAGGGCTCAGCAAATATTGCTGATTGAAAGTTTGGAAACACTGAAGCGACTGGTGATGTTCTGTCGGAGAGGGGTGTGAGCCAGGGCCCACCGAAGAAGTGTGAAGACGGTGTCTGAGCCAGACTTCAGAGCCCCAGCCAATACAGCACAGCCACATATTGGTTATGAGTAGGGGGAGAATGGCACGTGGAGGAAGGGATAGTAGAAGGTGATCCTGGAGAGGGTAGACATGAGATACAGGCCCCGCGTCAGGCGGTTATGGGAGATGAGCATTTGAAACAAGCGTAGTCTGGGACATGGACAGGCTTGATTGCCAGGGTGCTATTCTAGAGCTAAGCTAGTGAATGGCTGAAAATGTAGGTGTGCTGCTCATGATGGTGACCAGAACTGGTGGAGCAGAGAAAGGAGCTGTCCCATGACCTTGACCTTGAGGATGCTCTTGATGTGTCCAGTGGCTTATTTTTACTCACTTTCATCTCTAGATCTCTCACACTGCAGAGGTCAAGATTCCCCAGCCAATGCCCTGTAGAAGATGGCTCTCTGCAACAAGATCGGTCCTCTGAAAGATTATACAGGACTCTTCATTATATATTTTACATGTCTCTGGGAGGTAATTATAACTAAAACAGTGATCCCTATCAATGTAGCATAGCTAGAAATAGAATAAGAACACCCGTGAATTTCAACTTTAATGACCACATGTTCCATTGTCACTGAAATGAATGCCCTAAAAATAGCACTAATTTCACACACATTCCCACCAGCCTCATAACCTTTTGTATGAATACACATCCCGAGGCAAACACTGCTTTATGCCTTGTGAAGTGTGTTTATTTGAAACACATGCCAAAATGACTTGCTTCCCAGAGGCTCCCCCAGCTGCTTCAGCATGCGTCTCTTTCTAACCGCACAGCACTGGAGTTGGGTTCAAGTGTTCCTTCACAGTTCCTTTCTGCTTTAAGTAACGCATTTACACTTGTGACTGCTTTCTCAGGGCACCTCCGCAGGGCTAAAATCCACAGTCTGTAAAATCCCTTTACATGGCTGGTCGAAAAACCAAGTAGGGAAACAGCACATCTGTCATTGCTGACACTGAGTCTGACCTCGGCACATTCTGCACACTTACCTCCAAG